TCAAGTAGCTGACCCTAGTATCACTTGATGGTGTAGCTCTGATAAGAATTGAGTCGATATTTGATAAAACCATGAGGATGTCTTCTCTTGAAGCCGGTTTGGTGCCGTAAGCGCCGTCTATTCGGTACGTCCGCGAAATTGGGCTGTCAGGTATATTCTGGAAAAAATGTCAGCGACTTTTAATTCAGCTATTCAGTTAAATATCAAGGCCAGTAAGGACGCGTGGCATAGGAGTTGGTTTAGTATTAAAAGGGAATTGTCAGTTTGAAATGTCCTAACCTCAATAGCCCTGCGAACCCCTCCCGAAGTAGCATCCCAAACATGTGAGCAATACTTGAAGCTAGGTCTTACTTGGGTATAGAGTGAGGACGTCATGTGGAGAAAAGTACATCTTAGCCTTAAGCAAATAGCATAGATTTTTCACAGCAACTGCCTCTCCGACCAGCCAAAATGAACGGCGTTTTGGCAGAACTTGGCCATCCATCAAAACTGGATGAGCGCTAGTCCGCTTTCCTGGATGCCCAGTTTTAGCCAAATCCGACAAAAGTTGTTGTTTTTAAGGCTGTCGCCAGAAGTTTGTACAAGTTTGTTGTATACAAAAGTTATAAGGTCTAATATGAAGTTTTTTATGTAATAATTTTTTTTGTATAACGGATGTCTCTGGAAAAGTTTGTTCAAATGAAACGCTCTGTATATTTTCACTGAAATATACGAGTATATGGTTTGTTAAACTAATTTGCATTATTTTAGTCAAAAACTTGTAACTTGTATATCACTAATTTAACCACATGTATTCCAGCTCCACACCAGATCGCATAGTCGGCTAGATTCAAGCTGGCTTGAGCTCTGATACACATGTATAAATGAAACACAAACTTCACTAATGAAAATAAGTATGATAAACTATAGATATATATTTTGAATCAGAAAAAAGGGACTATAATTTTCTGCAAAAATATATAAATTGTTCCATTTAAAAATAGAGATACTACTTCTCCATCGAAAATATACGCCGATATATTGGTTTGTCATTTTGGTAAGCAATTCAGCCAAAAATGTATGCATTGAAAACTGAAACTACACAATTTTGCGACAAGCAATGCAATGTAAACATAATAGGCTTGACCTCCTAATAATCTATTCGAATCCGTTGGTATAGTGAGAGACAGCACTACGCACAATGCTAATAAAAGAGTCCGTACGTATGTAAGAGATATCGACAATACATCAGACAAGAAACCTCTTATTTTGAATTATGTTGAATGCACATCTTGGCAAGGGTGCACATTCACCTTAAGGCGAAGTTCCACTGAGGCAATTTTTGAACAAAATGTAGCGTCGCATTGACGTATGCGGCACACTGTCTTTCCATTAGAGGCAGCACAAAACAACAAAAAATATGTCTCCTTGTCGCATGCCACAAGTTGACCGTTGTTGCCTCTCGACGGCACCGTCAGCGACATTAATCCACGTGTTGAGCAGCGTCTCCGGCTATCCAAACCGTTCGGATCGGTGCGGCTTGGAGCAGGTGACAAAATGGAGTGGACCAATGAGAAAAGATTATGTTTAATTGAAGATTACCATAATTCGGGTGAATTATGGAACAACAAATCGGAAAGATATATAGATTGAAGAAATTGTCAGAATATAATTATGGCAGGCATTGTACGATGATGAAGCAAAAATAGTTGGATTATTTATTTATGGTTCATTTCTATAAATAGTAATATAAAACTGTTCGATATAGGAAATTAAAAAAAAAATAAAGAATTTGCATTCGGCGTTCCATCGGGGACGAAAAAAATTACGTGAAAAAAGTGGATCATCGCCCTGCAAGAAGGGGGTACATATTTCTTCTCCAATATTCTGGCGTTTTTCTTTTTCTTTTCCAGTCCAAAGAAATTACTAAATAAGCAGCCGCCGCGGCTGTCTGTAATGACGTTACGTACTAAACTGAAGTTGCCTTAATAGAATTTTGGGCAACACTGTCGAACGTCAAAAAGAGGCAACATTAGGAAACAAGTGACATGCCTCATGTCGACTGTTGCCGCAGTGGAATTCCACCTTTACTTTTGAATAAAAGGTTTCTTGTCTGATCTATCATGGATATCTCCGTGATAAATAGGAACCTTTTCTAATCGTATTTTGGGTTTATCACGACGAGTCTCAGAATTGACCTACACGAGCTGTGATAGCCACAAATTGACGTGCAAGCTGCAAGCTCAAAAAGTAGTTAGCTCTCAATATTTGTGTCCGTGTTTTGCCGCTCGCCGAGAGTGTACATGAATCTAGCTACCAGGGCTGATCAGATCGTCTTGACTACTTGGAGACCAGTGAGTTATTCAATTTCTATTAATTCGGTCAACTTTAATCTTGTATACTTACGTTGAGAATGACGAACCACCTAGCGCTGGGATGCAGCTGAACAGAGACGGCCTAGGATAAAAAACAGTTTTAATAATTGAGAACAACGGATGTGTGATACTGTTCTGGCTATGGCGACAGATACTTAAAAAATTTAAAAAATAAGTATGCAGTCACTTAAAAAAGCAACACCAAGAGTTATAGATGTCCCTTGAGGGTTGATCTACCGTTGGGAAGAATGCAACCAATGTAACAAGAACGCTTCCTTGAAGAACGTTCAAGGGAGGTTTTAATATTTGCATTCCTCAGTAGGCTGCAACAAATGCCATTACAGGCTGTCAGAAAAAATTGTCTTTCCTAGCCGTATCTATTTAGCATTCTGATGATAAATTTGAGGCGCAATGATCTTTTTTTGTACAAAATACTGCTAAACAATGGTAATGTAATCGCTTCCTTGAATTTATAGCGGAATTGGAACCATTAGATTATACGTGTAGGCAACCAGTACTACACAGAACTTGTGCTAGTGGTAGATTGTATATCAAGCATGTCAGATTCAGCGTACGTTTTTGGTACAACAGATTAAAGCTACACGATTCGGTATAGTGTTAAAAAAAATTCAAGTCTTTTATAATCATTTCATAATGTATAACACCGAAATCAAAAAGAAAATTTAACCATGCAAGTAAATGCATCTGACCGAGATACTCAACAAATTGAATGGGATTGTTGAAAATAAAAAAAAAAAACAGAAAGCTGCTCAACCACTTTGAAGAACAAAGCTTGGGAGTGAATTGCAAACAAATGTGAAACAACCAAAAGTGCGAATAAACAACTGAAAAAAATAAGTATCCATTTCCATATTCCAGTATAATGGCAGCTGATTGTTTAGGAATATTTAAAAATTCCCCATATCCGCAAAAGGCATATAATTTTGACGGATCCGTCAATGCCAGGTAGACAGAGCCATATTTTGTTTTGATTTTTTGTATGTACACACTTGTTATTAATTGCGTTCGCGGGTCAAAAAATGAACCAGTTCGCAACTAAAACTGAACCATCCAGAATTACAAAAATGCGCATGTCCAGTTATTTTCTATTAGTTCGAGATTTTCGTTTACCGCGAACGACTGTGGAACCGTTTGCATATTCAACACTGTTGCCAATTTGCCCTCTATTTTGTGCTGTTCCCAAGCTGCTATTCGATTGACACTGTTGACAGCTTCCAGGTGTTTTCGGTACTTCAATAACTTCCAATAGTTCTTCCAAATCATTATCACTAAACGATAAATGGTCCGACATCTTAACACACAAAACATATGTATGGAACAGCAAGCATTAAAAAGCACAGGTGACAGATTTTCACAGAATAGTTAAACACGGATCGAACTTTTAGTCTCACCAAAAATCTGAGAACCGTCAGAACCAATTCGATATGATCCGCGAACGCAGAACTGTAACTAAAAATTCAGAATTTTCTTACCGCGACGCCGATTTTTGAAGTGCGCATGCTAAGTGGTTCAGAATCAATCCAGAATCGGAACCGCGAACGAAACTATTTACAAAAGTCAATTTGCATACAAAAAAACAAAGTTTTACTTGATTTACACCTGATTCGTTATTGCCAACGTTCCAGACTATCACAAAAATGGCACTTGCTGATCAGCTATTCACGTCAGTAGACGTCAAAGCGTGATGGATACTGGTGAAATAGGGTATAAGTAGAACAGCTGGGAAATAACCATATATGGTGGGAAGGCTTGATAGAATGAATTATTCAGACTAGGCATTTCAAAAAGGCTTGATTGCTTGCTGTAAATAACGCAACGTCTACATACGCTATTTCGGCTCTGTGCCTACGGCCTGACCGTTGAGATTACGTTCCCTATCTACAGCTCCGGAGTCAGTATGTGTGCGTCTCTAGTCCCCCTTACCTTCGTCCTCCTCCCCTTTCTGTACGCCCATGCTCCTTGGAGCGATGCGCGCGCTGGCTAGTGGCGAGCGATTCCCCGCTCGCCCTTCAGTACGCTTTTATCTATCGCACGGATAGGGTGTGTGCGTGTGCGTATGTGTAACATCGCGAGTTAAACGTTGTGTAACGTTCGAGAGAATAATAGTATAAATGCAAAGGTAAGAGACAAAAACCTTAGTTTGACAATTTAGTGTAGATGGCTACCATTTGATATAAAATTGTCACGGTCTCGGATCACTCGGTCCAGACGTGAGACTCCCTTCTAATGCATCTTGGGCAAATTCGCTAGAGCATAATATGGGCACTTGTGTGCAAGCGCACAATGCCCATTCATAGGAAAATTGAAGGGAGTCCTGCAGCCGAATCCATCTACACAATGTTTCGGCCCGACCGGCCCGTCAAGTCGGCCCGACCAGCTGCAGACTTCGGCCCGACCGGCTGCAGACTTCGGCCCGACCGGCTGCAGACTTCGGCCCGACCGGCCGCTAAATTCGGCCCGACCGGCTGCGAATTTTGGCCCGACCGGCCGCTACGTTCGGTCCGACCGGCTGCAAATTTTGGCCCGACCGGCTGCAGAATTTGGCCCGAACGGCTGCAGATTTCGGCCCGACCGGCTGCATTTTTGGCCCGACCGACTAACTAATTATAGCACATCTGCTTCCAGATGGCGATGGCAACCAATTTTGTTACTCTGGGTGAACTCTGGTCCAGCCACGTTGAAATGGAGGAAGAAGATGAAGCGATATTTTCCAGAATCAAGATCTTAATAGAGAACCATCTGCCAGACGGCTGGAGAGACTGGAAGGTGATTGACTGGAAGAAAGAAGATCTATTTGGGAAAAAGATAGACCACAAAGTATTGAACAAAATTCGCTTCGCCCTCCCCACATTGGAACTGGTGAAAGCATTCTACCCAGAAGCAACATCGGTGGGAGAGAAAACCTACCGAAATATAAAATTGACTGGAACCTCTGTAGAGCATTGATCATGAGCCCACGGCAGGTAGCGTGTCAGTTACGAGGATCTATGGCTCAAGCGGAGCTCTTTAATAAGGCGGTGGAACCACTTAAACATACTATGCGTTCCAGAGAGCTGACGTCGGAGGCCCTTTCAACGGACGGGGAGTCTAATTATACGTCCCGAAGTAAAAGGAGACGGTGTCAATCGTCCAGCTCAAACGACGAGTACCCGGTCAGAACCGAGAAACCAATGAAGAGGAGGCGGCGAGTATTGTCTTCGAGCTCGGAGGAGGATGTCAATGAGACAAGGCTACGCCGCGTGGAAAGCATGGTCGAGAATCTTTACCACTTGGTCTCAGGAAATAAAGAGAACGATGGCAGCGTCATGAATTCGACGTGGCAAGCTCCAACTCCTACAGGTGAAGAGCTGTATGACGCCGACAGTATTGGCACATGTGGCAGCGTAAACGACTGGGACACGTTTTCCCCTGTCACTAGGGAAATCGAGCCTACAGTCCCTAGGGCGGACCCAGTAATCGAGACACAGGGCATGAAATGCCAGCGTTTCGGGGAAGAGACATGGAACAAGATTCGTTACGTGGACGCTCAGAAAAAACTCCACGCATCACCAGTCTTCAGTACTCTGAAGGTTAACTCATCCTTGTACAACAATGGACATGCAAGCCCAATGACAGATATGTTATCCAAAAGTGACCTGGCCTTCGGGACTATCTCACACGGTCTACTGAAGCAACGGAGAATCATACATGAGGCTCTGAAGGAGGCGGGGAACAAACACCCGGAAGCGGCAGACACTTTGAAAAAAGTTTTTGCTGCTAACAGTGAATACAAGACCATCTCGGACGACCTGCTGCAGTTCGTTTGCGGAAAAAGGGCGGAAATCATCGAAAGTCGCAGGAAACTATACGAGCCTAAAAGTAGTTACTATAGGTCCATCGTCAATGAGATTCCTCCGTCAGGTACGCACTTGTGGGATGAAGAGCAGCTGAAAGATGTGGTTAAAATGCATGGAGTGACGAAAATTGCTCCTGTCCGCTGGCAGAGTAATTTGGGAAAAGTCGCACTGAGACAGAAGGTGCCTCAAGGAACTTCTCATGAAAAGTATCTGCGTCAAGGTTCATTTAAAAAAATGAAGAAGGCAGAGTTTAAGCATTCGCGTAAGCCGGGGGCGAAAAGTCATACCAAGCTAGCTCGTAAGGAGCAACCACCTTTAGATAAAAGGCGGAGTTTTTGACAGTTTTCAGGCAGGACAACTCGCCAAATATGTCTCTGCTTGGAAAAGTATGGGAGCCTCACAATCGATTCTCAGTATCCTGAAAGGCTACGTGATCCCTTTCTCAATAAAGCCACCAATAACAGTACTATCCCAACCGATACTACACAAATTCGAGACACCAGCATCCACACAAATGGATCGAGAAATACAAAACCTCATAAATCAAAAGGTGGTAGTAAAACTGCAAACAAAAACAGGTTTCTTATCAAAGATGTTTTTGACGCCGAAATCGGGGGGCTTGTGGAGACCAGTGTTCAATCTAAAAAGATTGAACAGCTTCATCACGCCCAAGAAGTTCCGCCTTATGAACCATCGCAAACTGCCATTATTTCTCCAGGAAAGAGATTATATGGTAAAAGTCGACCTTTCTCAAGCATATTTCCATTTGCCAATAAAGCAAAAGCATTGGCGTTATCTGGGACTTTATTACCGGCAAAACATCTACGCTATGACAGCACTACCATTTGGCCTAAGCTCCGCTCCACAGGTGTTTGCAAAAGTTACGAACTGGGTGGCGAGCTACTTGAGGAAACAAAACATTCGAGTAATGGTCTATTTGGACGATTTTTTGATCGCAAACCAGAATCCAGAAGAACTAAAGCGAGAGGTATCCACCCTGATAGATACTCTCATAAAGCTGGGTTTCTGCATCAACCTGGAGAAGTCCGAAATAAGACCTACACAGAAATTGGCATATCTAGGTATTATGTGGAACACCATAAGAAATCAAAAGAGTTTACCGGAGGACAAAATCCACCGTCTGCAAACATCAATCCAAGCTGGAATCAAGAGCAAGACTTGGAGCTGGAAGCAGGTAAAGGCACTGCTAGGGAGAATGAAATTTGCCTCGTTTGTTATCCCATTGGGTCGACTACATTGCAGAAAGATACAAAGAGCAGTCAATCGGATGTCAGAAAACCAACCAAAGAAACTGTTCAATATAGACCTGGACGTATTGCGAGAGCTAAGATGGTGGGAGAAAAACTTAAAAGGGTCATCCATAATCTGCATGAAAGAACCGGAAGTTCATATAATAACCGATGCCTCAAACACGGGCTGGGGAGCCCAAGTAGGAGACACTTTGAGGAAAGGAAACTGGACAGAGCAGCAGGAAAAGTGGCATATCAACAAAAAAGAAATGTTCGTGATCTACTTAGCGCTAAGAAACCACCTAGATCGATTCGCAAACAAAACACTGTAAATTCAGACGGACAACAGGACGGTGGTTTCCTACTTGAGAAATCAAGGAGGAACCAAGTTGGTCACGCTTTTGGCATTGACCAGGAAGATCCTGGAGCTGGCACATCAATACAGTATGTCTCTGAGAATAGAACATATTCCAGGAAACTACAATATTGTGACCGACCACCTATCCAGAGGAAAGGATCTGCCAGACTGGCACTTATCAAGGATAGCTCAGAAGAGGATCTTCGAAAAGTGGGGAACCCCTTGCATCGACCTATTTGCGACTCCAGAATCAGCCGTCGTTACAAGATTTGTAACGCAATTCCCATGCAAGGAGGCAGAATTCGTCAACGCATTTACAAGAACGTGGGAGTACAAGCTAGCGTGGATATTCCCTCCTCCACCCCTAATACCAAGAGTTCTCCAACACCTCAACTATTGTCAGGGAGTTTTCATAATGATAGTCCCCAGGTGGGAAAGGGTGTTCTGGCGGCCCCTGCTGAAGAGACGTGCCATCGACCACCCGTTCACCATTCGGAATCTGAAGGCTCACCTGGAAGATCTTCAAACCAACCAGCCTCCTCCAAAGGTAATGGATTTACACCTGGAGGCATGGAAGATACGGGGTGGTCCGATATAGCGAATCACTGGTCAAAGGATGAAAGGAGAATCTTAGAAACATCCTGGCGCAAGTCAACTCTCAAAACGTATGCCGTTGCATGGAAAAGTTGGCAATCGTGGGCGAAGAAAAGAAGAGTCTCAGTTAAAAATCCAAACCCCACGCAGGTGGCTCAATACCTCTGCTTCCTACACAACACAAGAAAATTGGCGCTTAGAACGATCCTATTACATAAATCCACCATTGCGACATTCTCCAATCCACTACATAGTGAAGGAGTTTCCAGTAGCCCAACAGTGAAACAGGTAATTAGAGGTATTGCAAATGCAAATCCTCCAGCAACTAGGCCAAAGATTTGGAACATCGATAAACTTCTATCTTGGATTAATGATAACCATCCAGATACGAATAGTATCTTTCAAGTGGCCCGGCATCTATCGCTGCTTTTGCTGCTATCATCGGGAAGGAGAGTCCATGACTTGACACTCCTTCGAATAGATTCTGGTTTCTTTGAACAAACCGAAGAATACATAATTTTCTGGCCACAACATGGATCTAAGACAGACAAGCATAACTACGTCCAGTCAGGCTGGAAACTCCTCAAAAATCGAGAATGCATCTGGGATCTAGTACACTGGACAACCATATATCTAGAAATATCAGAAAAGAGAAGGAACCTCCACTGTCGACCGATTCCTCAACTATTCGTCACAACTCGTGGGAAGATAGGACCGGCATCTCGGTCAGTGATAGCAGGATGGGTCCGCACAGCGTTGAAATCGGCAGGTATAGAAGGAGGAGCCGGCAGTACCCGCTCGGCAGTGGCAACATCCCGCTTCAATGATAACATGCCATTGGATGAGGTTTTGCAGAAAGGAAATTGGCAGGGATCAAGCAATTTCTTCAAACACTACTATAAAAATATCGATAAGGATTTGGTACCTGACAACAGCAACAGAAGACTTATTTCGGATAAATTTGTCCCTATATAAGTATTATCATGGCTGTGAGCCAAGAATGACTGTTACTTTTCTTTTTATGAACTGTTAGAGTTATCATATTCTGTTTATGTCCTTGTATTGTTGATATTTTCTGTAGGGAAAATATAGAAAGTTCAGTATGGTTTAGTGTACCTTTTTTTTTTTGGTCTTCATACTATAACCATGTCACAGTACGCTTTCTAACACCGTGGCGCGCCGGCAGATTGTAAACACTTCTCAACGGTCAGGCCGTAGGCACAGAGCCGAAATAGAACAATTTTCCCCCTGAAGGGAAGAAAATTGATATTTCGGGTCTTGCCATAGGCCTGACCTAGGTAACGCCTTGCCGGCGCAAGAGTACTGAAGGGCGAGCGGGGAATCGCTCGCCACTAGCCAGCGCGCGCATCGCTCCAAGGAGCATGGGCGTACAGAAAGGGGAGGAGGACGAAGGTAAGGGGGACTAGAGACGCACACATACTGACTCCGGAGCTGTAGATAGGGAACGTAATCTCAACGGTCAGGCCTATGGCAAGACCCGAAATATCAATTTTCTTCCCTTCAGGGGGAAAATTGTTCTATTTTGAATTTTGGAGCGTTTTAAAAAGAATGCAAGGTTCTCATAAGTCTATATGGCACTTCATAAACCAAACTTTGTTTTTTCCGTAGCGGCTAAGGAATCGTTATACATACTTTTGCTTGATGCCGTTCCACAAGCTTTTGAGTTGTTTGTTGGTATTTTTATTGAACGTTTTTCCACACATTGGCATTATACCGATACCGTATCCACAAATCGCTCAGAGTTGGTTGATATACTGGTTGCCTCTACGTACAGTTTACTGGTTCCGATTCCGCTATACATTCCAGAAAGCAAAAATACAATTACTACTTAAATTTGTTCAGCAATATCTAGCAGAAAAATAAAAAAATCCATCACAAATTTTTTATCAAAATCCTAAAATATACGGCCAACAAAGAAAAACTTTCCTAACACGGATGACAGCCTATCATGACATATGTCACAGCCTACTCTGAAATGCAAATCTGTACCTCAGAGCTAGACCAGGTTAAGTCCAAATAAGTACTTTTGAGATAATTGTATTTGATATATATATATTTCTTGCATTGTATTGTATGCGACTTAACATGAGTTAAAAAGTCATAACTTCCTTAGTATTATAGATAGATAGACACTGCGTGTAGCAAATGAAAATTCACAACATTATCATAAGCTGAACATATTAAACTCATTTTTGACAAAAATGGACTTAACCTAGTCTGGCCCTGGTGTACAGAAATGTTTAATCCTTCCTTAAACATCCCTCAAGGAAGCGTTATTGTTGCTTTTTTAGAGGGTAAATCAACCATCAAACGGCACTAGCCGTCAGTCGTTCTTTATAAGTGCGACTTTAAAGTTAGCATATCGAAACAGCGCATTGCATCCGACTGTTGCGGTGGGAATGCTTCAACAGGTCGATTTTCAAAAGCAACTTACATTTTCTACATCTGGCCTCAGTTCTCCAGGATGGCTCCAATAAATGGTCTTTCCATTTCCGTTAATGATGACATCTTTGTTGGGAATGTACCTTCCAGATGGATGGTGGGTATATCTTTGGACGAATTCAAGTTGTCCCCCGTAGGATTTCACCTTATTCCCTGTGAATATGCTGGGCAAAGACCAGTACAGTGTGTCCCTGGTACCAGGTGGTACTGGATAGTTGATTTCGTTGCGGAACATGTCTACACTGAAGTTGGTAGCAACTCTGCTGACAAAGAATCTAAAAAATGGGTTTTATACAGAAAATATACATAATAATACAGCTTTCGATAGATGACGGATAAACAGTTTATTCATAGAGTTGAGGATTTCCTTTACACTGCGCATATTTATTAGCAAGCCGCGCATGGTGGAAGCCTGAACGATAGGGCACCGCGGCTACTGTGAGGAGTTTAAAGAAACTCTTTTAATCCGATTTATGAACTGTCTAGGGTTAGTAGGACTGGAGAAAGCCTCCTCAGGTAGTTACTCGATGCCCAAGTGATAAAGGAGTGGTCGTATCGGCCAGTTAATGTACGAAGTTCGACGCGGCTGGAATCGCTGGCCGAGGTCAGGTAGGTCTGTCTGGCAGACACATCGCGAGACGGAATCATGGAAGTGAGCTCTGAGGAGCAAGACCCCTCTTTTCTTTCCGTCTCTGTGACCACAGTAAACAATGTTCGTTTATGCTTTTTAGCAATTTATCAATACGGTAAAGGTCCAGTAATTGGAGACAGACGACGGAAAGCGAATAAGTGAATCTAATCATAATTTCGAAAAGCTCAATGAATAATTTGAATATTTTCGAACTTACTGATCTGTAATAGTGAATCCATGGTTGTCCTGCAATATCTGTATGGGTATCTGTTCAATGTACAAGTTACTTTCGCTGCACTGAGATGATTGTCCGAAACAGAAACAGACCTCGCACCCATCGATGTTATTGGTACTTAGACCAAACGTACCGCTACGACATTGGTCACAGTTATTACCCTCTACATTCGTCTGAAAATAAAAAAAATTAAAACATTATTAAGAAGAATCGCTCGATACCTGGGTTAGTACAGCAAATTTTCCTTTTTTTGCTCGCAAAACATCTCAAGATCCCAATTTTTGAATCGAGAGAGCGACTAATAGGATCAAAATACAATTTTTCTGACAATTTATGAGCTTATCCATTAAATATTCCATCACAAGACTAACTTCATTTTCAAAGATGGACTAGCGCTTGACTCTCATACTTTCTTCCACTATTTATAAAAACCTTTCTGCCGAGGAAACGTTGAAAAATGCAGTAAAGTAGTAGAATCACACCTACTTTCTTTCTATTATTCTACTTTATCGTTCAGGTATATCACTAGTATTGCCCCAGTATAGACCCAATTTCGTTCTCAATTGTAGTATTTGTATCACCCCTGTATACAGCCTTGTTGTTGGTAGGAAATAAGACGTTGCTAAGCAACCATAATTGATCTAACAGGCATTGATTATTGCAATACTTGACAGAGCACTCAAACTGAAGTCCTATTTTAAAATTGCAACAACTCACACGTATTTGACCAAAATGGAGGAAGACCAAGAAGATATTGAAGATGAAACCAGTGTTGTAGAACAAAATACACCAACTTTTAGAAGATGCTTCAATAGTACGGATCTGCACGGCTTAGGGGAATACAAAACGATAAGAGATATGATGGTTGAGACAAGCTTGGATGTGGATAGAATAGTGGACGACGACATAGGCAAATATCTAAATAAAGAAGTTCATGACGACATTGAAGATTCTGAAAGACCGGGTACAAGTTCAATGCGTAACATTGATGTGCTGATAGAAGGCGAAACTGTTGAACATTTTGTGAATCAGTGCAATGGCTTCTACGAAGAGATGAAACTCAAAGTCTCATCCCTGAGACGCACGCCTGATGTGAACAATTTGACTGTGAAGCCAAAGAAAAATATGGATGAAGGTGACATATTCAAAAACATACAGCATACCCCAGACGTTCAAAAACGGTTAGACGCTATCAATAAGTTGGATTTTGATATTAGAGACATAATAAACACATATAAAGTTGAAAGAGCTGCTAGAATGGAGGCGCAATTGGAAATGTGCAACGAGTTGAGCCAATATCCTGACTGCAGAGAAAGAGACAGTGAAAAGTTTCTAGAAGTGTGCCAGTTTGAGCTGTCTCAGTGTGGCAGTGATTCCGAGGATGACGAAAATGGAGGAAGTTTGGAGAACAGCCAGCAACAACAACCGAAAGTGGAGGCTAGGTTCGTCAGGAGAAATGTTGCACTTGCTAGGGAGGGATACTTAGCTGGGTGTTCTTTAACTGATGAGGAGAAAAGTAAAATTGAAGGAATCATGACTGTAAAAGACGATGATAGTGACGGGAAACAAAAAAGTAAAACTCACTTTACCAATGCTAACAAGACAACACATGAGCAAACCTACACTCATAATGCTTATAAGTTTGAAGTTGACCAATCTCAAAAAATGAAAGAGATAGACACAGAGTTGGAAAAATTCGCCTTGGATGAGAAGAATACTGAGAAATACGTCAGTGGGCTTCCAAAAAGCTACGAAGAAACAGGAAGTATATGTCTATTGAAAAAAGAGATAGCTATTATTGAAGCGAAGTTGAAAGAATTGAGGAATAGGGATGGTGAAGAAATGGAGAAGAATAAAGAGAGGTTTTTGGAGTTACAGAAGAAATGGAAACAGGAGGATGAACAAGAAGAAAAGGAATTTGCTGCTCAAGAGAAAAAGAATGATGAACTTGACGCGATGTTAGAAGAATTAGTAAACAGAGAAGAGGAAGGGATAGAGAAGGACAAAGAACGGCTATTGGAGTTGCAGAAAAAATGGAAAATAGAGGATGACAAAGAAGAAAATGACAAAGAGGCACAAGAGAGGCTGCTGGAGTTACAAAAGAAATGGAAAGAGGAAGATGAGCGAGAAGAATTGAATTTGAATACGGGAGATGCGGCTGAGCAAAATGAAGTAGAGAATATTAGTGAGGCAAAGATTGATGAAGATGAACCGACGACAGGAGAATATAGCAATGCATTTCAACTTGTAAATTCCGCAGAAGTACTTTAGTTTTTTTACTTGCCTATATATTATTTTACGGATTATACTAATGAATAAAAAGTAGAAGTTCCATGTTTTTATGTAATACCGAATCGTCTCAAGTCATCTCATAAAATGGTACAAACCAATTGACTTTCTGACCTCCGCTCTATAGAGAACTTAGGATTGTAATGTCAAAAGAAATATAGATATCGAGTTAGTAACTAATGTCTTACTTTGCATCTACATCTTGCGCCATAGCATTCAGAAGAGACTGATCCTCTAGGGTCACAGCTGCACGGTATTTCTGTTCCTGTATATGTGCAGATGCCACCATTTGCTGGGTTTCCTTCGTAGCCCGGGAGGCAAAGTTCACAGTTGTCTCCAGTTGTGTGGTCTCTGCAATTCTGCAAATAATAATTGTCATGAATGCTAATCGTCATTAACATAAAAAGCATAATTTATTTACATATGAATCGTTTCAAATATCTGCAATCCGCCCTTGCTAGGTCTCCAATTACTCACCATGACCTCTTCTGGTAGAAGGAGAAAGCCTACGATTTGTTTGTGTCCAAAATATCAGTTTGTAATCAAGATAAAGGTGTATTCTACAAAAGGACTTGACATATGTTAAGTGTTTGACAGTTTTGCCAGATAATGGTGGTGTTATACGATTTCAGAACATGATACTTCTTGCATAATTTGCAAGGAGCAGCACAAGCCTAATGAAGGTAGATCTAGTAGGTGCATAGTCACACCCTTTTTTAGGCTACCACATCAGACACTTGCTTCTTTGGGTCCTTCGTATCCTGGTACTCAAACCAAATTAACCTTGTTCTTGTTCCTAGATCTGTACAATTAAATAGTTTGTGTTAAAAATCTAATGCTTTGTTGGCTACCTGGCTATCTGAGAAGAAGATAATTGAGTGATTTGCGACCACAGCTCTAAACTTGTCAGTTAGTCTTTATTAGCACGGTCAAGCAGCAAATTGAGAAAGTAGCATGATTAATTTTACACGCCAGTTACCGTAAAACATTTCAATTGCAATCAATCTCATAATGTGCGGTCGTGTGTGTGTGTGTGTGTGTGTGTGTGTGTGTGTGCTATCTTTTAGGTTAACAGTCACAGTATTTTTTCAAGTACCTTTATATACATGTGCGCAGATCTCATCGCGCTAAAATCCACACCGCAAATATGATTCCTTATGCTACTTGTCTTCCGTTTTGGGACTGGACTTCAAGTACGAAAATAAAAATTATAAAAAAATGTTACCCTTACCAAGCATATTCCGCTTTCAGCATCACATTCGTCAGAATGTCCGTTGCAGTTGCACTGTTCACACGTACCAAGATAGAGTCCCTTGGTAGTGCGGGAGAACCCGACGTCGCAGTCTTCACAGGAAAGGCCAGTGTATCCAGGAGGACAGTGACATTGCTCAACTTCCAGTGCTCTTTCTGTTGAGCCGGTGTTTCTGTCAGTTGCTGTGTCTAGTTCCACCGATATGAGCCTGGATAGACAGAGGGGGAGGATAAGATGGTTTTATATTGATTTATGAATAGGACAATTATTGTTAAGGTCTTCGATCATGTTGCGTGCATTATACAGTGAGTACTCTGGACATACACTACTTTTAAAATGAGCTCCTGGCTTCAGTGTACCACGCAGATACTTACGATGATTCACTCGTCTGGGTGTAATACGTGGCCTTGATGTAAACATTTTCCAGATCTGCCAAGACCATCAGCAAGTGTTCTCTGTCAGCTTGTTGACCATCTGACCTTTGCCAGTACTGTTCAAGCAACGGCACAACGAATGTTTGAGGAGAGTTCGAGGGATAACTTTGATTTCGGTTGTAGTACAGTAGATTTATATTGTTTCTCTGAAATAGATGTGCAAGATGGTTAACGTCAATAAATATACTTTTTCGAAGCATATAGTCTTGTTGAGATTAAATGATGTATTCATTCCTGAAACTATATACTTACACTTATCAATTCGACATCTGCAGCAACATTCCTGGAGCTCTGACCTCCCGGCACTGGGGCATGTTTGAGTGTGTACCTCAAGTATCCTCCATAAGAAGTAATCTTGTTGCCCAAATACAATGAGGGAAGTGACCAATAGTAAGCATTTGGTGATGAGAAGTCACTGTATGAGATAGATTGGTCTTGCTGGTTGAGAGTGATACCTTCGGTTATAGGATACTCTCTGTTAAGATTGTCGATGATTTTGAAGTTGTTTGTTGAACTTGTGAAGTAAGTCGCGATCTGGAAGATATCAGGATTAACGAAAAGGCTTCGTTAAAAGAAAAAACTGACTTAGGTACCAATATATACTTGGTGACAGAAAAAAGAACACCCAGTAATAATGAATGCATCACAACGATTTTCTAGCTATACGTTCGTTTAGGTTAGAACAAAAAACGATAAGCTTTTCAATCATATGCATAAAGTGATGCTGTTCTCCAAAAAAAAGTAAGACACCCATAAGTGGGCCCAAAGTGTGAGACCAATAGAAAGAGTATCTTTTAGTCACTACGTTTGTCATGTATTATTCACAGGATTTTTCTATAGATCTAGCGATCTAGCGGAACATTTGGTTTACCTTATCTCTGTACCAATTAGAGCTGGAACATTGCATTGAGACGCCCATACAGAAGCATGAAATGCAGCCAAACTGATTCTTGGAGCTCAAGTGGAATGTATTTGCCTTACATTGGTTGCAGCTTGATCCTTCAGTCAAGTCCTGAAAATTGTATGACAATTATTGTATAAGAAAATAGCGTCAGCTAAATTTGAATCTACAATAAACCAAGATGCCTCAGATGGCTCAACTTGGGCCATTGTGAAGAGATAAATTTGAGAAATAAAAACGACCTCCCAGATATTCTGTAGCCTCACCTTGCACCTGCACTTCCCATAAGGATCAGGTCTAGTGTCCAGAGATCCAGACAGGTCACAGTAAGGTTCAGGAGGTCTTCGATCAGGTATGCAGGAATCTCCGGGTATCAGTGGGTTACCGATATAGCCTTCTGCACATTGTTGGCAACGGTTGCCTACGTAGCCAGGGGGACAATCGCAAACTACGTCACCATCGGAGCCTAGGTGACACGTCCTGCCAAATCTATTAAGAAATAAAGAAAAGTGTGAGTTCCTGTTTGATCGTAACCAATTACAGCTGGCTACATAAAAACTTTAAGCGATAGTAGAAAAAGGATAATCCGAATTATACATGAGAAATGGATACAACAAATATATGTATAAAAATGCAAAATCACTATATACGTATATGCTTCTGGTATCTACTTATTATTTTCGATAACATTATCATAGTGACCTTTTTCATCATTTCCTATAACTCTACAACAATTTTCTTATATGGATACCGATTTGGTATAATTGTGGTTCAAATTTTTCCAACGAAAAGGAGCCCAGACTGTAACATAATCTGATTGCAAGATTTTTGTATTTGTCGAGATCTGAAGAGTACTTGAAGTAATCAATTTTTAGCTACTTGAAGGATGCTGATAAATGTAACTTACTGATTGCTTGGATTGGTGTGAGGACATGGACATATCTGGCACTCTCTTCCATCGTTGTACATACCAGGAGGACATGATTGTTGTTCTTTCAAACATTGTCCTAACCATGGGCCTGTCTTGCGTCGTGCAAATCCTTCAGAACACCTCTGGAACAAAATGGTATAATGATACGTACTTTATTTTTGAATCGGTATCTTGAATGAAAGCTTTGGATATACCTTAAGATGCTTTTTAGGTACGGCGGTTGACATGAAAGATCTTACAAATTATAAGTATTGAAAGAATAACTAGGAATATTCAATAGCTGTAATGGAGAGGATCGAAAGTACCATTTATGGAGAATACTTGAAAAAAATGTTGAGAAGTTATAAAAGATGGTCACTCAAACATTTTTATTCAAAACGGAGAGTTCTTCAGTCGACGAATCAGCATCAGCGACAGCCACTACAGTTATGAAAAGGTATTTTAAAGAAGAAGATGATGATAATGAATGAGACGAATGACATTCGCTTACCTCACAAGAGCTTCCACTGTACCCAGCTGGGCAGCTACAATCCTCAACGTAGCTAGCAGGTCCTAGGCCACTATCAGGTGTCGCAGCACTGTCCATGGCAATGTTGGTCAAAGTGGTGTTAAGCACACCTGAGTTGTACTGCAGTTTGACTAGGATGTTATCCACATCTTCCAGGACCATCATGATCTCTTCCCTGGTGGCTACAGATTCTGGAATACTGGGAGATTTCTTGTACCATTCTCCTTCGAAGAAGCGGACTTCGAAGTTGTCCTCTTGGTAGAGGGCGGGGGTTTTACGAGATTGGTGTTGGAGGATGTAGCCATTGCCCTGAAATAGGTGTCAATTACTCATACTATCTGTCACATATTGGAGTATCGAGATTGGCAAGAAGTTAAAGACATTTTCTTGATACGAGTTGTAGTCATTAGCAATGGAGAAATATTGATACTTTTGTTTAATATTTATTTAGCATGATTGCCTCAATTACATTCTTCTAACAAACTAAACAATTACATAACATACAGATATTTAGGAAAAACGAATTTTGCATCTCTAAGAATTTTCACTGTCGATGAAATATTCCTTTATATACATTTGGTTTTAGAAGTATTCAATTTTAGTTTATTTACATTTAGCCAATTTACGATTTTTGACAAGTCAGAATTTAGCATTTTTAAAGCAATGTCATTAATGTATAAAATAAATAGTAGTGGACCTAGTTTACTACCTTGTAGTATACTGACAGAAAAATTTTTTTATCTTGATAATGTAGATCTAATTTTGGTTTTTTGACCTCTGACAATTAAATAGTTTTGAAGAATTTTGAATGCAGATCCTTTAAATCCGTAGTGCTGCAATTTTGTAAGTAATTTATCCCTGTCAATAGTTTTAAACGCCCTTTTAAAGTCCAAAAACACTGTTACTATATGTTTCGTATTGTCCATACATCTCCCCCAGTCCTAACTATTTGTGTT